GCGGTGATTTCTCACTTTCTGTCTCTATGTCTCTGTCTTTCTGGTGAGCACACACACCCTATAGCAAAAAACCTCTCCCAAGGAAAAATGAAAATATAGTGTGGGAACCAGTGGATAGTGTAATGGTTATGTTGCTGGACTCACATGTAGTGGACTGTGGTTTGAGTCCCAGATCTGGTGGTTTATTGCTCAGGCCGGGCACATGTGAGTTTGTGCCCAAGATCCTAAGAGGAGATTGGAGGAGAAGGGATTGTGGCATGGTCATCCCCCCAGAGGGTAATTTCTCACTTTCTGTCTCTCTGGCAAGCGCACACACCCTATAGCAAAAATCTCTCTAGGAAGAAAAAAAAATTGTGACGTGAAAATAAATTCAAACTCAGCAGCCTTAATCTTATAGAAACACAACTACCCCCATTTATTTAATTTGGTCTATAGTGCTTTCATGCCACTACTGCAGAGTTGAGAAGTTACAGTGAAGATCTATGGCTTTATTTGACCCTTTACAGAAATTACTAGTCCCTGATGTGAACATAATTTTTATTTTTTAGAAGTTTTTGTCATAGGACACATGTGCTTGCCAGAGAGATAAGACAGTGAAAGGGAAAGTGAGAAATCACTTTCTGGGGGAAAAGGGGAATCGACATAACACAATTCCTTCCCCTCCATTCTCCTGTGACCTTGGGAATGCACATACATGTGCCCAGCATTTCAAGCCACTAGGTCTGGGACTCAAACTAGGGTTGGTCATGTGAAAGTCCAGCAGCGTAACCCCTTCTTTCATCTTTTTATTTATTCCCAGAAGGTGTGTACATGCAAGAGAGAGAGCAAGCACCTCCCAAGGAGGTGCAGTCATACCCCAATCCTTTTCCTTTCATTTGTCCATCCTGTCAGGGTTTGAGGCATGCACACACATGCACCCAGTGTGTTTTTCAAGCCATTGGGCTGGCACTTGAACAACATTTAGCTGTTGGTAGGACAGCATTCAGCTCACGTGGGACACAGTTCCCAATGATAGTACTTAACCTTTGCACTTCAGGGCTTTCTCTACTCTTCTATCAGATTTCTGCTGTCACCTGTCAAATTTTCTCAAAATCGTGATTCTTCCACAAATAGCCAAAAATTTAATCAGTTGACAAAACCGGTAAAGCTAGTTCTAAGAATACTGAAGGAACGATGTATTCATAAGCATAAAAATTAGGACAAGGTTACAGGTGAAACAAAACTGGTTAGGGTTTTAGGATCAGCAGATGGTGCAATGGTTGTTGCCGAACTCCCACACAGTTGACAACGGTTGGCCTCCCAAACTGGCAGCTTAAAATTCACAGCATGGGTGCCCAGAATGGAGAAGGGATTGCAGTGTGACCATCCCTTTCAGAAAAAAAAAATCTACAAAAAAAAGAGAGAAGGAAAAACTAGTCTGTGTTCTACAGAACAATAAAACCCTAACTTAAGGAGTAAGTGCCATGGTGTTTGGAACCCTGGATTCTCACATGGCCTACTCTGGTTCAAACACCTGACTTTGAAGTTAGCTTTTCTTTAGTTTGCTATAGGGTGCAGGGTACTTGCCAGAAAGACACAGAAGAGAGTCAGGGGGGTTGGCCACACCCAAATACTTTCTCTGTTCTGTCAGGATGCCCGGGAATCTGGTCCTCAGATCATACAGTCAACCATGTGGGATCTAGCCTCCATTTGTACTAGGCCAAAGGGGGCCTAACCTTCCTTTTTAATGGGATTAAAGATTCCACATTTCCTGATTCCCAATCTCTACCTTGTAAAGGACACTAAACACCTTATTGCTTAATATGATTCTCCCACTCTTACCAAATGTCCTATGGCACTTTCCTAAACCACCTTCCCGTTCTGAATAGGGGTGCATTGGCATATATCTCCCTTACTCCACCGTTAAGTGGCTTTTTGGTAAGAACTATAGTGATTCTCTAGGTTAGGTCCCTGTTGGACCCTAACACGAGGCGGACCAAGTGAACAGTTTTTAAAAAGTCGGGCGCCCGCCCTCTCCCCGTTGTTGCTCGTAGAGACACCAAGGGTCCCGTCCCGTGCCGAGAAACCCACAGGCTCCTCAAATACCCTTCCCACCTACAGCCCCCCGCGTCAAGCAGGAGCAGCTACCCGCCCAAAGGGCGAACGCCCCCCCACCCCGCCCCCGCAGTCCGAGACCTAGCATTTCTTCTGCACCTGGATAAGGGCTCCAGCCTTCAGAAAAACAGCAAGGAAGCCCCAAGCCCTTCTTTCTGAAGTTAGCCCTTTTCCGCAAATACCACCAGCACAGACTTTTCACACGTTTTTGCAGGGGGCAGCTTTACTCCCCCAAGAGCCCACGTCCCGTTTCACTTCCTAGGGCTCCGGACTCCGCCGGCCTCCCACCGTCAGCGCAGCCGTTTTCCAGGGAAATGGCGCAGGG